TAAATTTTATTGTTTCTCTAGAATGAATAAAAACATTTTTAAAACTTTAAGGAATTAAATGACAGTTTCAGGAGTATGCCATATAAAATGATATATAGGTCTCACATAGGAAGACAAAATATATTAAATATCTTTAAGGAAAAATCAACACTTAAATATACTACTTTCTCCCCACTATGTCTAGGGATGGTCTACAATTATACTTTGTATCTGGTGTGCAGAAATGTCTTGATGATGAATTTACTTAATACCTACATGTAATATCTTGTATGCCTTGTTAATGGCACGAACAATTTTAGTTAACATTAGTCATGACACTGCGGGACATAGCATGATTAAATGATATTACATTCATCATCACTGCTAAATGCGAGGTACATTTGTATTTTGTAACAGTGTCAGAATCAAACATTTGCTGTAGTCCTTTCTGCCGGCTGTTGAAGAACTCATACTGAGGTAAGCCTGTCACCTGCTGGTCGAGACTTGTTACTTCATTTTACATTTCAAATAGACACTTCTCACAACAGCCCAGGAATGTGGTAAAATTTGAAGCCCGCCTACATACAGACCTTTCAGATTTCCTAGGTCGTCACAAATTATTGAAGCTTGAACTTTCTAACAGTTTTCGTTCCTACAAGCCTTTCACATTTATTCTTTCCCTTGATGACCATTACAAATCTATGGCTGTATATTTCTGAGTCCGATATAGTCCAAGATTGATCAGGTTTCTTCCTGTGTGTGCCAAGACTCCATCTGTAGGTGAGAGGTCCCCACGTGCTGCTAAACTCCCTGCAGAATTGTACTCTTTTGCCCCTTCTTTTTTCTGAGCACTGTTACTGGTCATCTGCTGTGTCCTCTTCTGGGGTCCCAGCCTGTGGCTGCCCTGAGCCCGGCCCTGGGGTCAGCCATACCTCAAGCCATCTCAGAATCTCAGTCTCCTCAATTGTGAAATAGGGCTAATAATTCTGCTTCCAGTTGTTTTTGGCATTAAATTAAGTGATGCATGAAAAGCACTTAGCTTCACTCTTGTCACTGGCCTTGTAAGTGTCTACTACCCACATCCATCATACCTGGAAGATTCACCTACATGTAACAATAGGACCTGCACCTCATTTGAATCTTTTTTCCCCCTTTTGTACTTTGAAGACCTCCTTTATTGGCAGACAGACTTTGCAGTCCTAGGGACTAGAAATGTAATGCACCACCATTAACATGACAGAAATCATCTGGATGCCAGAGAGGAATGCCCCCGGGGGTCCTCCAAACACCTGAAGCGTCTCCAGCTTTACTCATCTGTCAGTCAGCCTGTGCTCATTAAACCTGACTTTGTATTTGCTAGGAAGAGGGGATCATCGTTATTATTACCTCAGTAAAGAAGAGCAAGAGGGGCATCAGTTCAGCGAAGTCGATCACCGGGAGAGAGGCTGGCAACAGAAAACCAGGAGCCCTGCCCAGAAGCTGTGCTCAAAAATGTCCGGTTTTAGCCCTGGCGACAGGGTGGCTTTCCTGGCCATTACGGAGCTTCGCGGCTGCGTATCCCAAGGGTTCTTTCTCACCATTTAGGTGTTACAAGCTTCCAGGCGTTTCTCCGGTTTGCTTTCGCGTCAGTCAGGTTGACAGGGAGGGTCTGGCTGTCTTGAGTAAAGTGCTCACAGTGTAAATTAGGCATTTGGCAATCTCCTCATCTGTTTAAATGCAGTGTTTCGCTAGTTCTTACCACATGGAAAGTGTTCTGTAAACATCTATTTTAATTATTGAAAATTTTCAAGGTGTCAGGATACCACTTAATTTCAAACTGTGTGGCTGCTGGAGTTCGGGACCAGCAGACATGTGTTGCAATGTCCGTGCTCCTTGGGGTGGCGGGGGCTGTCGCCGTGTGCGGGAACAGGCTGACACCCGGGAATGGGCGTCTGTCCCCGTTTCTGAGGCCTGAGCCCCTTGGAGCTCAGGGCAGGCCAGTGGACGAAGTGTTCAGAGAGGGATGTCCATCATCCCATCTTTACTTATTATAGAGGCAGTCCGTGTTTATTTCAGCTCATAGTGAAAAGGTAGGGGAGACAAAGCTGCACCTGTCACCTTGTGACCAAGAGATACGCCTGCTCGTGTCCCCATGCACGTCCGCTACGCAGCTGCGAGCAGTTCCTTCTCCCTGGTTCCCTCTCGAGCCCGCCCCACCCGGCCTTTCAAGCTCCTGGCGCTGTCCGGCCAGGTCCCCACGGCCTCCCAGCCCCGGGCTCCCCACCCCTGCCGGCTCGCCCCGCTTCCCTGCGGCCTGTTCCCCGATGGTTTGCTTCCGGCTCTCCTCCCGCGCTTCGCTCTGGGTGGTGGGCACTCGGGCCAACGGCTTGGAAGGCGCCTGCAGGTGACCCCCAGGTGCTGCCTCCAGCCCAGCCTCGCCCCCGGCTACTCGCCGCGCGCCCCATGGATGTTCGGTCGGCAAAGCAGACGTCGCCCTAGGCGCCCGCCGCTCTCCGAGGGGAGGCCGAAGCCCTTCGGGGCAAGGAGACCTCTGGCCACCGGCCTCCCGCCGACGCCCTCCCTCCTGTTCGCCCGGCCGCAGCCACGGGTGCCCCGGCCATGCCTGGGCGGGGGGGGGGCTCGCACCTGCCCTGGGGCCGTGCGGCCCCCCAGGCACCGTGCGGCCAGCTCCCTCTGTGGGTCTCGGCCCAGCGTCGCAGAGGCGTAGGCCACGGTCTCCAAACCGCAGCACGGACTCCCCAGGGTCCCCGCCCTCTTCGGCCAGCCCCGCCCGCGGCCCTTTGACCTCCTAAGAGAGTGTGCAAGGTACCTGCTTACTATGTTCATCATACTAGAATGCCAGCCCTGTAACAACAAAGATGTTTACTCACTGATGAATCACAAACACTTAGAATCGCATGGAAATATGGGCATTCGATAAGTACTGGTTAAATATATGGACATATCTTTTCTGCTGGAAGACGTAACATCTCACACGGATGCCTGGAAAATAACAGCTATGATGGAAATGTTTATATACACAAAGGATGGCATGACAGTGACATAAACTTCCTAATTCCTTAAAGAAACTTATAGTTTTACAATTACTGTTGGAACACTGGTAATTTATTACCGAGCAAATCAAATGAATATGAGGCATTTACGAGGCTCTGTCATGACGAGGTCCTGCTCTGTCACACATCACAGGTATTACATGCACAGAAAGACACGGAGAAGGCCTGACGGTGAATGTCGGCAGCAGTTATCACGGGGTGGGATGGCGAGTGGCTTTTATTTTATTCCTTTTACTTGAGTATATATTTTATAATCAGATGGGAAAAATAAAGATCTTAAAAGGCGGGAAAAAATCATGACGAAGTATGTTCTACGTACTTCAAGGGGTGTAGGAAGTCTGCATTATGTACCGTTAGGATTGTACTTCAGTACCTCCTACTGCGCCGATGGGCAGCGACTGCAGTGGGGCTGGGGGGACTCGGTAATACGGGTGCGTGTTGTGACCTCGTGTGGAACCCCATAAGATTGTATATCAGTGATACCTTAATAGTGAGAAAAAAGAATGTGCTTCTGTAAATTGTGTAATACTCTGAAAATACAATGTAGTAGATTTTTCTAAGTCCTGCATCTCTCTTCTTTACTTAGAATTAATGAGTCTGATACCTTTACGTGAGTTTACTTTCAGAATTTTATTTTACAGGGATTTCTATGGCATAACATAATGTCTGTGGTACTCCCAGTGAAAATCCTTCATAATGGTCAAATTCTAACAATTTTTGCAATAAGCATTCATTAAACTTTCCTAAAAATAGAAAAAGTTCCCACTATATACTATTTTGTATTTATTTTTGTACATTTTCAAAATGATTTACTGTAAAATTTTCATAGAAAATCTATGGAAAATTATAAAGTAACTACAGAATTCTTTACAATAAAACCCAGGGTAAAAGTAATTTTTTGCAGGTTGAAAATTTATCAAAAGGTATAAATGGATTATAAATATATTTTGGCAATCTGATGGACTTAAGGGCACTTTAAAGGTTGCCTTGATTACTACAGATATGACATGTTTGATGAAATCCGAGCTGTAGGTCTAACACCAAAACGATCATTTCTTTCTGCTAAAACATAGAAATACTTTATCGGAAAAATTCATGGGTTCTATGAAAAGTTTAATATCTTCATAAAGATTCTTTTATAAGTTGGGCTAATCTCTCGAAGGCCTAAAACAGAAAAAAGATAAAGATAAGACATAATGAAATCAGGATGCTGCTTGGGAAAAGCCTGCCATAACCGAGCGAGAACCTCCCCCCCTTAGGCGGAGCTGCGGCGATGAGCAGTCAGGTCCAACACCAGCCTCGCCAAGGCAGGACGCCGCCAGCGTCCCCTGGCACGCGCAGGTGTAAGAACGTCAGATCCCCAGGATGACTTTTCATTCTTACAGCCTCCGAGAACATCATTTCCTGTTTTCCCCACAACGCAAACATTTTATTTTTTCATATAATCTCTCACCCGCACCTACATTCTGTAATTTCAACTGTCCAACTTTATTCATACACAAAAGCAGTGCTAACTCAGGAGAAACATGCAGTGACGCGAGAAAGCAGGTAAATGAAGGGCAGAGACCCCCCCAGGGCCAGTCCGTCTGCAGGGAGGCGTGTAAGCTTTTCCCAGTGTTCGCCTTGCGCTGTTCGGGCTCCAGACACACAGTCCTTAGGAGCTCGTCTCTGGTTTGCTGTGTTGGCTGAACCTACACTAAGAGGATTACTCTGCGATAGGTTTTCTCCAGAGAAAGAGACGGCCGTCATGCGTGTGTGCTTCCCACTCACATTAGCTTCCTGCGGGGAGGAAGGGGTTTTCTGCATAGCACGCCCGTGATCGGCCAGCACTGTTCACTGGCCTGACAACTATTTATGGAGACGGTGAAATCTAACCCCAACTTGGTCTCCTGCGTTTGCCTATTTACTGCCCTTAAAATGGGTCTTCTAATGATGATTCATGACTTTTCAACTAATATGTTTTTTTAGAAACCCAAGGAGACATTAAAGAATGCTGTAATTCACAAAATGAACAGCTGCATCAAGAAACAGACGTGACAGTCCCATTAGTCTGAACAGAGTATGGTACTCACCAGGCCCATCTGTTCTGGAGACGCCGAGGAGAAGGACGCTCTGAAGTAAGGGCTGGGCGCCGAGCTGTCGATGTAGAAGACGTTCCCAGGAGCTATTAGTATCTGAGAGAGTTTACGGAAAATCAATTACCATTAAAGGGAAACTAAAAGAAAATATAGGTAAACCTAATCTCAGAGTGGGGAAAGCTTTTTTAGTTTAAGACAAATTGTAAGATAAAAATCAATTTACATAAAAATACTGTATGTCACGCACACAAAAGTGCAGAAACTGGGAAACTGTTCACAGCAAGCACCGCAAATGCTGTCCTGCTCTGTACACAGAGAATGCGCAGAAACCGAGGACACTGAAATCCTAGCTTTGACGGGCCAAGGACAGCTTAAAAAGGAAAGAGAAATGGCAATAAACACAAACAAATGTTTAGCCTAAATAGAAACATAATATAAGTTCAAACAATGAGATACCATTTTTAAGTCACCAAAATTGGGCATGACTTTTAAGATGGGACTTCACAGATAAGTAGGTGCTGAGCAAGCAGGAAGTGGGGGAAGAATATTTCAGGGAGAAGGTACAGAGTGTGAAGGCCTGAGGCTGGAGTAAACTTGGTCCACTCAGTGAACTGAAAGGAGGTGGAACGTGTAGCAAGTAAGTAAACAGACTGAGCTATTAAGTGTGTCACGGCGGAGGGTGGGGACACTGCCGCTCCTGGTGACCACCGTGGCGGAGGGCCCACTGGCTCGAGTCCCACGTGCTCTGGGTCCTGGGCACACAGACATACTCTCGCCCCAGCTTCTTCCTCGTTACCTGTGGCCACGTGACCACCAAAGGGCGAGGGTCGCATGTGCTACGTCTAGGCCTAGAGGTCACCCCATGTGTGATCCATCGTGCTCTTTCCATTTGTAGCCACATGGAACCCGTGTGTGGAAGACCGAACAGCACGATGGAAGGAACCAGGCTCTCAGCTCAGCCGTGCTTGGAGCGGAGGCGCCTGTAGGTCACACCTTTGAAAATTTTATGTGAGTTGGAAACAGACTTGCATCGGGTTGAGTCTTGAGATATTCAGAAGCATTGGTACTGCTCGTCAGTACATGGCGTAGACCTGGGCACTGCCTGCTGAAGTAAGGTGAGCTGGGCGTGAAACGGTCCGGGGTGCTCTGGGGAAAAGATGTCAAGGCAGAAGGTGGGTCTTTGGGTCCTGATTACAAAAAAATGGAAGCCGTTAGGCTCCCAGGATAGTGGGAAGGTCGGGTGTACTGTGAGCAGGGGGCTGTGACAGGAGGGGTCAGAGACAATCTCTTCACTAGAGGACCGAAACCGGGGCGGCGGGTGTGGTGATGAAGCTGCAGGCGATTTAGAAGAAGTGAAAGTGCCAGCAACAGGGTATATGGGATAAATGGAGAAGACTGAAAAAATTATAGTATCTTTAGTACTTAGCTCAGAGATACATAAAAACAGCCACTTACCAAATGCTCTTGATGATAATGACATTGACAGAAAAGCAAATAAAACATAAAATTGATTTATTATACTAAAATAGATTTTTTTGGAATAAGTCAGTTTGGTGTTTACTAAATACCTACTATGTAGGGTTACCAGGATTAGAACAATTAATGAAGCGGGAGGCCTGCACTCAAGTACGATGGTCAGAGAGGGTGGGTGCCTTTCCCAGGGTAGGGGGCCAGCACCCAAGTCCGGGCAGTCAGTGTCCAGGTCTGGCCTCAGCACATGGCTCTCCCGACCCCCGGGCCCCTCCCCGCGGGCACAGGCGCGGAGCCTCGCCTACACCCACACAGTCCGCACTGCTGTGCTTACTGCTTCAAGACAGACTGAACCTGGGAACTGATCCTAGTGTTTACAGAAGACTGACAAACACAACAAAGGACCTAACTAATGGAGAAAGGATAATTTACTTGGTAAATGAAAGCTACAAGTGACAATATTTAGATTTACCAGGGTAATCAATGTCCCTGAACTGTATCTAAGTAGACTTACGACTTGAGGACAAAAGGAGAAAAGAATCTAGTAGGTACCCGTGAAGGCCGATTTTAAATGAAGAAAGCAGGACACCAACTTTCTGTGTAATGTTAACCATGTAAAATAATTACACAGCTAAATACTAGATAGACACAAGCTCTTGAAGAAAATATACCACAAATGGCCACAAAAGCTGGGTGGTAGAATTATGGGCTATTCACAATTATTTTGTTACATTTTTATGCATTTTCCAAGTTTGCTACCATGAGTATGCTTTACTTTCATCATTGGGGGAAAAAAACCCTCTTTTAAATACAAATGGAAATACGTACCAAGCATTTCCTATGTGCCAGGTATTAGTCTAAGCGCTTCATACATATTAACTCATTTAATCACCAAAGTGACCCTCTGAGGGAGGGATTCTTATTATTTCTATGTTACAGAAAAAGGGAGAGTTACTTATCCCACTTTACGTCCCCATTAAGGGGTGGGCTGGGATCCAAGCCTCCAGAATGCGGCTTGGGAGACTGTGCTCTTAGTTACTAAATAACTGGTAGCTGACGTGAATGACTATATTTCCACTAATCTGGACCGGAAAAGTAATATTTTAACTTAAAAATTTCATATATTAATTTAAAACATGAGTTTGACTGGTAGGCAGTGATAAACATCTCTGTCCATTTTTACTTAAGAAAGTACTTTAAAGAACAAATATAACTTCCCTCCCCCTTTTTACCTCTTTTTTAATGGCTTTTTCTTCAATCAGTTGTTTTACATCATTGATGCCCTTAATTTTAACCCACAAAAACATTCCAGCAGTAGGAACGTGCCATTCTGCCAAACCTACAAACAAAAGAAGAGAATACATATCTCCCGTAGCCTTTTTTGACAACATCAAATATATTACTTAATGACGTAATCTGTAACTGTAAAGTAATATTTTCAAAAAAGTTCCTTCAACGACAGCATTTGAAAAACATATACTTCTATGAGTCCTGAAAACTGACATTCTAGTTTTATTTCAAAAAGTGCGTGAGAGGTGGAGGGAGGGAGGGAGATGCGCGTGTGCACTTACAGCGTGGCCCGTCCGAGGGGAGTGGGGGAAACCTGGGGCCCCGGTCTGCTCCCCTTGGACCCAAACCTGAGCCCACGTCAACGTCAGAACAGGATTTTTCAGCTCCTACGTGGTTCTGGTGTTTCAATAAATCCTATCATTTATGTAACAGCTTAGCAGTCCGATGGATTAGCATTTTTATCAGAATATAATTAATTATAAAAAGAAGTACTTAAAATTTAAGAATTCCAGGTGCATTTACAGACTTTGTGTTCCACTGAATATCCAGATAGAGAAATTAAGAAGGATAATGATTGTGATTTTCTTATTCTTTTTTAAAAAAATTTGCTGTTGATTAAAACCTTGTCTTCAACTCCACTGTACAAAATGTACTCTTATCAAAAGACAATTCTGCATTTATTAGGACTTTATAGGAAACAAGATATGACAGAAACAAGGAATTGATATTTTTTGTTTACTACTGTTCATACCAAATGCATTTTTAATGACACAGTTAAAGCCATGAATTCATTTGACTTTCTTAATAGGAAATTAAATCATCCTCCCATCAAATTAGCAACATATATTAGATAAATTAGGTTAATGATTAGAAAGCAAGTAAACTGTAATGAGAGATCTGCCTTAGATGAGGCCATTCTGTCTTTATACAGTCTGGTTAGAAAAGGAGTATATTGCTTGACAATTCCTCCTCTATTTAGGGGAAATTTTGAAATAACTCCAAAACTTTTGAGTACAGATGTCATTTAACTCAAGTTAATGCCAGTTGGTTTTTAGACTACTTGGTCTTTTTCTCCTTGAAAGCACAGCTGCTTTGCAGCAGACAGGTAACACAGAGCAGGCAGGGCAGGGCCAGGGCTGCAGACTCTTACCTCTGGGATTATTCATAGGTAACGCTGTCTTGACAAGAACTCTCCTGGACTCGTTTCTTTCCCCAGAATTATCATGCTACCCAGTGTTTATCACCCACTCATGTGGGTGTTGGTGTTTCTCACCGGACAGGATGTACATTCCACTCACCACTTAACCATCTGTCTGCAGCTGCCAGCAGTGCATCCTTCTGGGCCCTATAGAATTCAATCACTCTAGAAGAAAACAGCAGGAAGGATGTGTTAAGTGCAGTGACTGCAGAAACTAAGAGGCTTTGGAGTCCAGTGTAGAAGAATGTCTGTTCTCTCTTGATTAAAATGTTGAATGCTTGATAAGGGAATAGAGTATATTTGTCTGACCTGTCTGGTGGTAAACTTGTTACCATCGTGTTTTTTTCTCTTATTGTGGAATAATTAAAAAATGAAAATTAACACAGGGAAGTCCCTTTCTAAGTAAAATATAGAAACTAAAACACAGTACCTCTCTACATGAGCCAGGAAACCCTCTTCTCCCCATTGGTGTAGAAGCTCTGATACAAGAACCTGAAAGAGGTAAGACAATAGCAAATGTCATGGTTCAGCCTCTAAAATGTGAAAGCAAAAATGAGTAAACCACTATAAGAAGATATAGCAATCTGAATCGAGCTTTACATAGTCATTTAAAATAAATGTTAATAACAATGACAATAACAACTATTTATATAGTACTTGCTATGTGCCAGAAACTATTGTAATGAGGTAATGTATTTCAGCTAGCTTAATCTTTATAATAACTTTGCTAGGCAGGTTATAATTCCATTTTACTGGTGAGAAACTGAGAGGCACAAGGATTGAGTGATCGTCACTGAGGTCACACATCTGGCCGCACAGCCTGCATCAAGTCTGACTGTCAGCTACAGATCTACGCTGCTAAGTGCCACGCATAGTGCTTCTCTAAGTATAAACAACATTCAGTAGTTACATAGAAAAGCCTCTGAATACATTAAATAACTATAAAAATCAAAGTTCTAAATGTGATAAATGAAGCTTATTGTGAAGTTTTTACTGGTAACAGATATGAAAAATGTGGGAAAATGTGGATTAAACATGGAATGTACGGTATCCAACAAGTAACCTATTCTGAATAAGCTTGTCTGTTCATTTTGAAATCTTAGGTAGCAAAAATCTGTCCTTAAGATCTGATTCTCAAGATCGCACTGAGAACAGATCTAATGATTTCTCAAAGCTTGTGAGGAAATTTATACATTCTTCCATATTAACTTTATTTTAGTTAAAACACATCCCGACCAGTGTCCTGAGGAGAGGCTAGGACATAGGCCACGAAGGCAAGCGATGACTTCTCACCGTAGATTCTAAGACAAGGAAGCCGAACTGGTATTGCCTCACCAAGCCCAGTTCCGTCCTGGGCTAATATTAATGACCAGATTGGTGTTTTAAGGCAAGTGGAATACCAGCATCCGTCCTGTTCAGTTCAACAAAGTTATTGTGGAATTCCTGGCTACATGCTGGTGGCACAAGGTGAGGAAGATGCCCTACCTCTTGAGGAGTTTGTCATTCTCTGCAAAATGACACCAGCTGAGGTTAAGTCAATCCTTGTTTGTGTTTGAGAGAGGATGTGGGCAGCATCTGGTCTCCTAATTCAGTACCATACTCGAACTAGAGATTTGATGTTGATTTCCCTCTGTGCCACCCTAACTCAGTCTTCCTTAACAACATCTATTTTCTATTCTGATCCGATTTTAAAAAACTCATATTTCCTGAATTGACCTTACCTGTGAGAAAGTGCTGGCATGCATTGTTGAAACTTGTGTGTGTAAAACAACTCTCTCTATCAAGGGTTTTGGACCAGTTATGAACCCAATTCTCAGCCTACACAAGAAGAGAAAAGGCATAGTACCAATTCTGTACAAACACTAATATATGTCACTGACCAGCTTCATTAGGAAGACAGTTATGATGGGACAAATGGACCCAGACAATTAAAATATTCTAAAAAAACCAACCATCTGTTATTTAGAATTCATATTAAAGTTCAAGTGTGCATTTAAAATATAATGCAAGTCCAAGCATTTCTAAATAGGTTCTTTCATCTATGAAACAAAAACATGACCAGTCCCACTTACAAGTGTAGGTCAATGCCCAAGTGCCTTTGATTGCTGGAGATGAATAATGGGACAGAAGGCCTGGATTAACATTGATGACCGAACTGGTGTTTTAAGGCAAGTGGAATGCAAGCATCTTGGATGAGTTGTTTGGGCTACAAGGTACTCAGGTACAATCTCTCTCTCTTTTAGATTGAGGCTTAAGTCAGAGATGCGGCGCCTTACCCCGAGGAGAGGACTTTAGAAAAGGAGTCAGCTCTGATGACACGTCCATCAATGTCCATGGAAAGAAATGTTGGGGCCCAGGGCTTGAAATGGGAAAAAACAACTGTTGGTTTGAGAATTCTGCTAATGACTATATAATTACTTCCTGTAGAGGATGCAGAAGACATAGATTGAGTAACAGAAATGCAGCCATCTTCTGTTGGCTTCATCTCGACTTTTACAATGGACTAAGGGACAGAGATGCATGTGCTCTTTATTACTATCTGCCTGTTTCATGGCTTTTCTACCAGCAACACACAGAAGGGTTTACTCATTCACTCAGTATGCCTCAGTAGACCCTTCTTGCTTCAAGGGTTGAGATCCAAGACTGACAGATTATGAGGAAAGATTCAAGAAAAACTAGTTTATATTAGAGCAAAATGAAGAGGGCCAGCAGCACTCAGGATTGGTTAGAGACAGAATGCTGATCCTCAGAACAAATGGAAAGATGAAAAAAAGATGAGAAATTTAGTCAATCTGAAAGATTCAATATTTACTTCAAAAATAGATGCATACAAGAAAGGGTATCATGTCCTGTTGAGGGTAGGGGAGAGGTAGGTGGATATGATAACCAGGTGAACCAAAGGAAAAAAATCACATTTCTGTTTGTTTGCAATAGATTTAAAGGGGGGGACTGAAGCCAAGTACCTCTGCTGTCCTGAGAACAAACAGAGACAGTGTTTGATTTTGAGGAATCAGGTCTTGGGAGCCTTTTCCAATACTACTGCCTACTAGGAAACAGCAATTGTGAAAAGTGGCATCACATATAGAAAAATAATCTAAAAACCCATTATTCTGCAGGTAAGATCCAGGCCCTAAACGACAGGATGGCAAATGCTGGCGTGCTTAGGAACGCCTTCTCCCAGGTCTCTAAGGGACGCCACACACTGAGCACACATCATGTTCTCTTTCAGCTTGGGCACCGCTTCCCGATCACCCTGGACATCATCCCAGTCAGCTGCCACCAGGGGCTCTCGCCGGCGCCCAGGAGGAAACCCACACCTCATCCCGGGGTGTTGCAGGAGCCCGGAGCTAGGACCCGATCCAGGAAGACCGTCCGTCCTGCCCACTCCGTTCGCCCAAGGCCGAGGCCCACCGCGCTAGCTGCTGTTTTAGAAGCAAGTAGATTCGGGAAGGGGCAGCACTACCGGAGGTGCAGAGTACTGGCCCCACGGTAAAACTGAAACACTAAAGACTGAAGTGGTAGCGAATTCACAGTCATTTATTTAACTTCAGTGAGAAGGCGGGTCACTGGCACGGAGCCAGCCTGGAATCCGGTCAGCGCCGTAGCCTGCAGCTGCCCTTCTACAGTGCGGGGCGCTCCTGTCAGCACTCACCTTGGTGAACTGGAGAAAGTAGTAAGGATCATCTTCTACTATGAGGAAATCGTATTTTCTTGCGACCTGAAGAAAAGTTAAAACAGTAAGTTCATTTCTTAGGAGATACTTAAAGTGAAAATCACTGGGACGCAGAATCCTTCGCGCTGGTTGGGTGGGGCTGCACAGACCCAGGAGTGCTGGCGCGCGAGACAGACGGGGGCGGACGGAACTGCAGCACACGCCCGGCGTTGAGGAAGCGGCACTTCCATCAGACAGGCCGGCACTTACAGCCGTAGAACCGGGCGAGGCTGTCTGGGGGGGCGGGGGGGGGGGGCGTGAATAAGAACACTCAGGACACAGCCGAGGAATGGGTGAAGAACAGGGCAAAGTTTTGGAAAAAAGGATATATAGTGAGTGAAAGGAACTGTTTGGAATCTTATGATTCCACCGCACATGATCGAATTCTATATAGTTTAACATGGGTTTGGTATGTGTTTTTAAAAGCTATTTGTAGTGACTGGCTAAGGAGCATAGTTACGTAAGTAAAAGCGACTTTACAAAAGGCACATTTGTCTTTTCAAAGGTTTCTGTATTGCTCAATGTGTTCGCTACTTTTTAAAGACTGTTTGTGGTGAGAAGCTAGGCATCATAGGCAGGTACCCAGAAGAGACCTTACAAGGGGAGCTTGCCTCTTATTTTAAGAAATAATTTCTTTGTAACCTGAAATGACAGGGAGTAGGAAAGAGGAAAGTTGAAAATAAAAATATAATGAAAATCAAACTTGGGGTCAGATATTAAGTAACCTCAGAAAATTTAACATCAGGGCAAAAATGCTATCTTTTTAATGAAAATACCAATTAAAGGAAAAGAAAAATCTCAGTTAGCAAAGGATGTAGTAATTCCTTATGTTTAAACTTGCTAAGACACTTGACATGAGGACTTCCCTTTATTAAGAATCATCTCCTAAGAGGTTAGTAAGACAGGGCGCGCGCAGGGCCCCCCAAGAAGCCGCAGGGACCGGGGGCGGAGCCGGCGGCCGCGCCTCGGACTGCGGGGCACCTCGTAGATCGCCTTTTTGCGGTCGGCCGTTAACGAGTTTCCGGTGGGGTTGTTCCCGTTCGGGACGGTGTAGAGAAGCTTGGGGGTATTTCTCCTGGGGCTCTCTGACTCTTCCGGCTTCCATCTGGACAGTGTTTCTTGGAGGGACTCGGGGATAATCCCGTGCTCGTCACTGGCAACGTTGATGATATTGCAGCCCAGGGGTTTCAGCTGTTGAGCACAAATGAAAAAGACGACGGGATCAGAAAGTACGTGTGTCACTGGTTCTTCTCACACTACCTGAGATGTGACCATTTGCACCTTTAAACGTACAAACGTGCTCTCGGCTCTACACTCTAGAGCGCTGAGGTTGCGCGTCCTGATTCTGTCACCGCCCCGCGGCAGATCCCATTATCCTTCAAAGACGCCCCAGCAGCTGCCGGAGGAAGGGTCGCGCTTCCCGCCTTATCCGTCAGGCTTGGCCGTGTGTCCTGCTCCGGCCAATAAATCGTGAGAAGTGATGTGTGTTCCCTGAAAAGCAGCTTTAGAATCCAGCTTGTGGGTCTGTCTGTCTGTCTGCCCTCTGCTCCAAGACTGGAGCCGTTCCAGGGAGGCTGCTTCTGTCGCCTTGGGTGGGGAGGCCGATGGTGCGGACCGGGGCTGCGGCCGCCCCGCAGTGGGCATGAAGGTGAGAGAGAGGGAAACCGAGACCCTGGGGTCGTTGGCTACATGGCATAGGTGAGCGTCTTCTGACTGAATTATCTTCATAATCATAAGTGATTCATAAACTAGATGGTTAGTAATGAATTTTTTTAAATAAAGGATATGAAACATCTGTTACACTAATACATAAGGTAGTTTTAAGGAGACGTGATATCCAAAGTGTGTAACCAGTAGTATAGCATGGGTGCATCAGAGAGCGCGGCGGGCTGGAATGGCGCCAGGGGGCCCCTGCCCCACCAGCGGTGACTGTACCCTGGGAGGCTCAGGGTGGTGTCAGGGGAGAGGCCAGGTGAGCCAGGGCAGTGACGGGGCCCCAGGGGGGACTGGGGCAGCAGTTCACCAAGGGGTAAGGAAGAATTTCCGTATTTGACCAATCGCTAAGGCTGAAGTGGCCCAAGTGGTGGCCTTGCTTATAGACATAATTTTGTGAAATCTTGTGGACTCTTATTCTTGGATCAACACAAAGAAAAAAATTATAAGTTAAAAAATAACAGTAATTAAGTGATGTTCTCAGAAAAAAAAGTTTTCAAAGGATAAGCCACACTCTTTTTAGCACTTGAATACAGAATTATGTACTAAGCAGAAATAATCCAGACAAACTTAAGACAAATTTAACAGTACTTAGAGTGAGAAAAACACATCTACCATGAAATACAAATTAATATTGGGCCATGAAACACACAGTACTGATGAGCATGTTTCCTCAGAGCTTGGCACAGTTTCTGTTTGGGTATGTGAAAACATTTGTGGGTTTTACATATGTAGCCATATGTAAGGACTTAAGAAAAATATGATAATTAGAATCCATTAACTAACTATTTGTTGATGAGACTTCTTTCTGTATTGAATGTTTTGGTTCCCTTGTCACAATCAAACGACCACAGATGTATGGGTTTATTTCTGGACTTTGAATGCTATTCCACATTCTATATCTGTCCTTACGCCAATACCACACTGTTTTGATTACTGTAGCTTTGAAGTTTGTTGTGAACTTGGGAAGGGGGAGTCCTCCAACTTTGTTCTTTTTCAAGATAATGTTGGCTGTTTGGGCCCCTTGCAATCCCTTATAAATTTGAAGATTGGCCAGTTTTAAGGAAAGGTATGTTTTCTCAATACTTATAAGGAGGGATAAAATTTATATTAAATTGAACAATCTGAAAAGGAAATTAAGAAAATAATTCCATTTATAATAGCAACCAAAAGAATAAAATATCTGGGGGAATAAAGCTAATAAAGGAGGTGAAAGACTTAGACATTAAATACTACAAACCATTGCTGAAAAAAAATTAAAGAAGACCCAAATAAATGGAAAAGACATCACCTAGTCATCATTTAGAAGACTGATACTGTTAAGCTGTCAATACTACAAAAGCAATCTACATATTTTACACAATCCCTATCAAAATTCCAGTAGCTGTTTTTGCAGAAATAGAAAAGCCAATCTTCAAATTTATAATTGCTTTTTATATTGACTTTTAAAAAGATAAAATTAAATTTGGAAAAAAAAAAAAAAAGAATCCCTGAAGTTGGAATCAATAAAGCATAAAGGTCACTTCACTTAATTTCCCTACTCTAAACTAGAACCACTTCTCCAACATCTCTGTTAGATGTCAGTCAGGAGTAAGTTCACCTCCTTAATGATGGGCAGTGAGGGACAAACTCCCACCTCCTTAGGGAGTCAGGTAAGGCTCACAGTTACGTTGAGCTGAAATTGTTTGCCTGTAGTTTCCGCCCTTTGGTTCCAGTTCTGTCAGCCTAAGGACATGCACAAATAAATCCATGGCCAACTTTTATATATCCGGGGACAATCGTCATGTCTCTGTAACCTTCCCTTATTGGGGAAAACAGTCGTAGTTCCTACTGGTTTATCATATGGCATGGTTTCCAGTCCCCTAGTCACTTGGATTATTCTTGTCTGACTGTACTCCAGTTTGTGTACATGCCTATCCTAAATTACTGGGCTTCAGACACACTCAATTCTCTCAGCAGTGTGTTCTGACTGGTGCGCAGCAGAGCCAGATACCAGCTTCCTCAGTCTGGAGGCTATGGTCCCATTAATTTAACACTGGAGAGGAAAGTCCTAATTATATCCTATCAGTTTACAGCTATATTAAGTTGACACATAACATGATTATATTTAGGCATATGGTAATAAAGATGGTAATGAAAAAATAAGTTTTTGTAAATAAAGTCTCATTTCAAGTGAAATATTAAGAACACAGGACATAATTTTGCACAATCTCATTTTATCACCTATACATTTAGATTTTGTAAAGTGAAATGTATAAAGAGGGTATATTTAATATCTTTTGCATATATCATTTAAGATTCTCCTGTTTACAGATGAAAGATGCCATTTTATTTTTCAGTGGACAGGTAATTCTAAAAGGTACAATGATTTCTTCTTATTTATTTAGAGTTGCCTTTTCTAAAAATGTGTACTCACAATTTGAAGTATTCCTGAATAAACAGGTTCACTTAGGAGGACATTATCTCCAGGATTAATGATCATTTCAAATACCTAATGGAAAGAAGCACAGGTTAGCTTGGATAGCACTGTTTCCATTCTGAGAACCCCTTTTAATTTGAGCCCACTAGGATTCTGGAGTAGGAGTTGGCAAATCTTCTGTAAAGCGCCGAATGATACATATTTTGTGCCAACTGCTCTTTCCTGCCTCTATAGTGAGAAAACAGCCACAGGCAATACGTAAAACAAAGGGTCTGCACAGAAACTTTCGGTTTTGATCACGCATTATGAACTATAAACAATCAGGTCAAATATGAATATTCGTTTGATTTTTATACTTGATTTATATGTGAATCCCACATTTCTCCCTTATTATTATTATTATTATTAATAAAATGCTGAAGTGGTAGGTAGATGCAAGATAAAGGTAGAAAACATAGTTTAGTGCTGTAAGAGGGCAAATACCGCCCTTGCACTGTTCACCATGTAAGAACTTATTCACTATGTAAGAATTTGTTCACCATGTAAGAACTTGTTCGTTATGCTTCAGAAGATTGGAGACTGTTGAGAACTAGGCTTGGGGTTGATTAATGATTGTGCATTGAGTCCCCTATACAGAATTTTATTGTTGTTAACAACCATTTGATCAATAAATATGAGATGCCCTCACAAAAACAAACAAACAAACAAACAAACAAAAAAAACAAAGGGTCTGGCTTTCAACAAAGCTCGATTTAAAGGTCAGATGAGGGCCAGATTTGGGTTGCATTCGGCTCTCAAGACAGTCTGCAACCTCTGTTCTAGGGTAAGAAATAACATTGCAACCTCTGTTCTAGGGTAAGAAATAACATAACTGCTTTGGCTCCTAAAATTCACTTTTTCCTTTTATTCCCTCTGAAAACTGAGTAACCATTCACTGTTAAGCCAGGCCTCTGTATGGCATGGAGAGCATAAGGAAGCATAATAACATGGCTCTTGCCCGGTGGAGCCACCAGTCTGCTGTGAGCTAGACCCTAATCAAATAATTACTCAAGTAAATGTATCTCTAAAAGCAGTGATGGGTGCTAGCAAGCGTAAACATGGTATCATGAGAGCTCATTGTCAGGGGACTCGGGCGTTCCTGGAAGGCTTCCCTGAGGAAGCGAAGAGTTGGCATTGGAGGTGAGGACAGACACATTCTGAGGAACTGAGAGAACCGTGTGGCTTGCAGTGGAGTGTGAAGAAGAGTGGGCAGAGGCCATGCCGTGTTGCACACAGGCCTGTGAGGCCAGGAAGAGTTTTGGGGGGGCTGGGGAGGGGCGGTCACAGTGTCACGGGTGCACGCTGGGATCCTTTGGGCTCCGACAGGGGGGAATGAGAGGAGCGAGAAGTGTGGGAAGTCGTGGAAGTTCTTCGGAGTGTTCAGGGAGTTTTTGTGCAGTCCTGGGGACAGATGAGCATAGTCTGGGCGAGAGTGATGGTGGTGGGACTGGAGAGAACTGAGAGGCGTTCAGGAAATCGAATCCACCGGAACATGATCGTGGGCTCCGGGGGAGTGAGGAAGAGGGGGGCC